TTGGTGGTTAGGAATCATATAGGATAGTGCAGGGTTGAATTAGTTCTGGTTGAAGGCAACTAGAACATGAGTAAGCGGTTTAACATTAACCACTGTTTTGGTTTCACTAGTAGTATTTTGTGCACGAGTCCTAACGGTCTCATTTTTTTTCGTGGCCGACCCGAAAACGACCAGGCCATCGGTGACCCAATGTGATTTCTTCCGGGCAACGACTTCGTGACGGACATCTGTACGGATGTATAGGACGCTTCCGCACCCGACTCGAGTGCACGATATCATGGCGGACTCGAGTCCGAGACTGGAATTCGTTTGGTTCCAAATAGCGGCAGTTACAGAATAGCATTAGTCGCGAGATAGCCAGCCTCACAAGGTCTCCGACGTGGTCATGTGATTTTGTGTGGGTGAGCTCCAGTCGTAAAGCCATGCCAAATCCTCTACAGGATGTGAGCTACATGCGACCACGTGTTTACAAAATCTCGACACGAATTTGAAATTTCATGGGAGCTCTCGAGAATCATCATGCATCAGCTCCTTTGAACCTTGTGCTGATGTAGTGTGGGCGAGAGGGCAAGTTAGTCCCTTGACCATAGCATTGAGCGTCAATGGCTAACACAACACTCTCTGTAGGATAATGCGATCATTTGTGTAAATACACTGATTTCCATTGCAAACTTGATGCTAGAGCTTCTGGGATCCAATCTCGAACGCTCTCCTCTCGTGGGCGAGAGTCGGCTCTCACCATGAGACTGGTCCCCACTACAGTGGTAAACGTGGCCAGCGACATCAGGTTCGTTCCTTGTCGGACTTTATCTTGAAATCAAAATTTCGCTATGTGGGATTGTAGTATATCAGTAGAAGAAGCCTCTAGAACCGCTGAGCACCGAATGGTGATGGAAGCACTCGGTGGGCCGAAGAAGAATGGACACATATATGTAGGATTCTAGGTTTTGTACGGAATAACGTATTATTGGGTAATTAGTATAATGACTATTATTGCTTAGTGTTTGCCTGCAAAATAATTTTAAATTGTATTTTTCATGCCTTCGCACTACCATCCTTGGTACATACACATGTAATCGAGGTATCGGTGTGGCCTAATTGAACTATACTCAGCAAAGTGATACGACGTAGACAGCTTTTGGCTTGACTCCGTGCTTGGTTAGAGCTTATGTGGTGTTGAATATAAGTCACTAAAAGGTTCATAACAGATTGTACCACCATGATCTTTGAGTAGAAACCTGTGTTTATTAGCTTCGACTACACTTTACTTAGGTGGTCATCATTTTATTAATACGAACTGGCGGAAATCTTCTACTTGGTCAGTAACTGGCTTTGAGATCTATTGGAGTGTCAACAGGGGTTGTTATGGTTGGAATGTTTGAATATTTGACCTACCAATCAAGTCGAACTTTAACGTTTTAACCGTGAGTGCCTCAGGGAGTATAGAAAAGCGAATTGGTGTACTCTTATTGGCTGAGTTTTGAAGGGCACTGAGTTCTGGAGTCTTCCCTTCCTATTATGTTTGACCATTTCCCCAGTAGTTTAATGATGCAGGTATCATGGCAGTTTGTAGGGACCGCGTTAGGCACCATTCGTTCTACTGTAGCAATAGCTAGTGGCAAGTTTCCTTGCGCTAGTGTGACGCCACGATGGTGAGCATCGCGCGCTACATGCATGTGATATCCTTGCGGTCAATCACATCAAACCTGCTAACGTGATTTTCGACGAACCCTATCAAACCTACATATCTTTGCCAAACCTTCCTGGGTTTTTTTTTTTGGTAAGGTTCGACTTGAAAAGGACGGGGCGGGTAAGTTTGATCTGATTGGCTGCTGAAGCATACCTTCTAACCGTGAAGACGCCACCGATAGGAATTGAGGTCGATGTGTTGAATTTGCAAAACGGCCGTCATGATCAGCTTCGAGATTCGAGTGATGTGAGATGTGAGCGATCATTTGGTCGAGTACACAAGAGTATCGACTGCATATTAGAATGAAATGTTTGCACACTGACACCTGAGTTAAATCATACTTGCGCCATGGAATTCTACCTTATTTACATGTACTGTACTGAGGATCATCTGCATTTAACTTCTTCAATAGTTTTGAACAAGATCGATGGTCTATCTGCACAGGTATATTAGTAACTTTGATGCAAATGTACTGTGTTTCACGCTGCAGACCAATCCATTATCTCTGAAAGTTACCTTGCTGGTCACAATGTGCCAAGCAATTGATACAATCAGTGATGTCGTGCTACTGTGCATTATCCCGTGCTGTACTACTAGTACTACTGCTATAATGTACAGCACGGGACCATGCACTAGTAGCACTGGCCACGTTTACCACTGTAGTGGGGACCAGTCTCATGGTGAGAGCCGACTCTCGCCCACGAGAGGAGAGCGTTCGAGATTGGATCCCAGAAGCTCTAGCATCAAGTTTGCAATGGAAATCAGTGTATTTACACAAATGATCGCATTATCCTACAGAGAGTGTTGTGTTAGCCATTGACGCTCAATGCTATGGTCAAGGGACTAACTTGCCCTCTCGCCCACACTACATCAGCACAAGGTTCAAAGGAGCTGATGCATGATGATTCTCGAGAGCTCCCATGAAATTTCAAATTCGTGTCGAGATTTTGTAAACACGTGGTCGCATGTAGCTCACATCCTGTAGAGGATTTGGCATGGCTTTACGACTGGAGCTCACCCACACAAAATCACATGACCACGTCGGAGACCTTGTGAGGCTGGCTATCTCGCGACTAATGCTATTCTGTAACTGCCGCTATTTGGAACCAAACGAATTCCAGTCTCGGACTCGAGTCCGCCATGATATCGTGCACTCGAGTCGGGTGCGGAAGCGTCCTATACATCCGTACAGATGTCCGTCACGAAGTCGTTGCCCGGAAGAAATCACATTGGGTCACCGATGGCCTGGTCGTTTTCGGGTCGGCCACGAAAAAAAATGAGACCGTTAGGACTCGTGCACAAAATACTACTAGTGAAACCAAAACAGTGGTTAATGTTAAACCGCTTACTCATGTTCTAGTTGCCTTCAACCAGAACTAATTCAACCCTGCACTATCCTATATGATTCCTAACCACCAAGGGATAAATTAAACTGTGTTGGAACTAACTCCGTTTTGTCAAATTAACTGAAAGCATAATACATGTAGTGTGGGAAGGGGGGAGTTCTTTTTCTAGCTCTTAATTAGCGTACTATTAGTAGTGTATTTCTTCATATGCTAGCCGAGCGCATGCATATTTTTAGTGCATAATGCCTCCCTTCTGCTCGCCGATGGCTCGCTGCACTACTCGCATGGTTGGCTGGTAATTTGCGCCGAGGAGAGCTCTTCGGTCCCAGGTTGCACCAGGTGCCGTTTTGGGCCGCCCATCTACCCCGTAATCGTGATGCATCATAATCAGCCGCGTGATCTTGTGTCTTCGTAAACTCGTCTGCGTCAACCGCCACCGTTGTCAGAGAGCTCTGCCCACACCCGAATGTTAGGTTTGCCCGCTTGCAAAGTAAGCACAAAAAACGATGCGTTGCATTTCGCATGTATCTTCGACAGGATTCAATTCGAGATGTGAGCGTTCGGTTTGACCAGTAATTCGTCTTGTTCAGGTTCATTCTCCAATTTGCGCGTCGAGCCCCAGATCGCCTCTGTTTACGATCTATTATGCGGCTGAGTACCATCCTGCTGACTGTTACAGTCGCTGCCCTCGCTAGCGCGAGCGGTGCTGCCACGACCGATCTCTCCAAGACCGCTTCTATCAAACTTGAACACTCGTCTGTTGCCGCTCAAGCGAATATCAATGTCCACCGACGTTTGAGAAAGCATGATAGCCAACTCGATCGGCGTCCAGACAGCGAGGAGAGAGCAGGCTTTGGGACCTGGCTGTCAGAGACTCTGTCGAAGTTTAAGAACTTTTTAAACAACGTTGACGAAGTGGACGACAAGATAGCGCAGATGCTCAAGGGTAAAACCCTAGAAGAAGGCGAGGCAATCCAGAACAAAATTATAGATGACACGTTGACCCTGTTTCAAGGGATGGAGAAGCAGGGGATCAATCCGCAAAATCTTGTAAATCACCGCGAGTTCAAGAAGTTATCGAAAGAGGAAGCTGTAAACCTCACGGAGATGTTTAATGCGTATTGGAAGACTTTCAACGGCAAAACAAATGTCTGAAAGACTCGTGTAAGCTCGTGAAAGGAGGTCGCGTGGGGTGAAGAATGAGAAAGAAGCGTAACTAGACATAACGGTAGAGCAGGTGCTATTGTGTAATTTGCCCTCGGATTTCATTTCTTTATTGATTCTACGTTTTCATATAGGGTTTGGCTGAGAGCATGAAATGTGCACTCTGCAGCACTTGTTCTTACCTGGGTCCGAAGGTTTTCGAGTAATAAAGGGCAAAGAGCCAAGTAATCCTTAAATTCGCACGCGCTGAATCTGCACGCATAGTGGCGTGGCTCGCGCATTGTCAGGTTTTTGATTGGCGTTCTGTTGACCACCAAGATCCTAACTAACCCCGTGATAGACAATACTTTCTTGAAACCCCTACGTACTCTAAATTACTCGGTCAATTCCCGATACGAACTTTAAATTACTCGGATTCCATATTTTTCTGCACAAAAAAATCATTACTCGTTTTCGGCTTTTATTATCCGGCTTTTCCTTGATCTTAGGTTCTAACTCAATTTTTTTTTTTTTTTGGTAAACCTTCCAATCCTGCCTACCAGCAGACTGAGACCTGATAGTTCGGCATGAGGATGGCTACTTATACGGAAAACGCCGTGCAAAACTGTCGATTAGTATGAAAAAGCAATGAAAAATGGTAGTATAAAAAAAGCGAGTAGTAATCATGCCATGCAATAATGCACAATAGAAGTTGTGCGTTATTGTACTACAGCTTCTCTAAGCTTTAAAAATCAGTGTATCCTTCGATGCAAAGTGTATATTACAACAAATAGTGTAGGAAAAAAAATACTCGACTGATATAAAATTGAGTAAATCACCCTTGACGCGCGTTTTAATTCAATTGCTTTCAATCATGACGACGTGTCGTTTTTATTAATAGCCTAAAAGGAAGACCCTCCAGCACGTCAGTGCTTCGAATCCGTACATATAGTGTTCCAGGATAGCACGAATACCTTAGGCACTGTACCACTGCCTAGAATGACTGCGACTCCACATTATCCTGGAGAGCAATAGGTCTTATTTATGCTGAATCGGGTATTTGTTGTCCTCGTTGCACCAAATTGGGCAAGTCAGCATCTTGAACGTTTTCATGGTCACTCCAGACGGCTAAAGCGATGTACTGAGCAACTCCAGCTACTGTACGATGCAGTCCTTCAAACAGAGCAATAGTTTTTAAGGAGAGTTTTGTTTAACACTAATCTACTCACTTTGGCATTTGCCTCCAACTTAATAATCTCCAAACCAACCTGTTAACAGCCGCAACTACGATTGTAACTGGAACATCAGATCCGGAACGCCAAATACGAAACGCTGCAGACCACCAAGAAAGGCGATGTCCTCCTGGGAAGTGGAACTACTTTCACGGGGAGTATAACATGCGCATGACCTTGGCTACAAAGGAGCGTTTGGCGCATGTGCAAGTGGTCAAGCCCGAGAACGAGATCATGGAGGTGTGGCTCGTCAACGACGCGAAGGCGCTCAGCATCATTGCTCATCAGGCCTCGATCGCTTGCACATCACACGCTCTAGGTGGAGACTAGAAGTAGCTTCCTGGGAAAGTATCGGTTTGTTTGTCAGCCGCCCACTACCAAATAAACGGCACTTTAGTACACGTTAGCGGTGAATGTGATAAAAGCTAAAACAGCCCACACTAAGCTTTTTTACTTGAAATTTCCGAATGTGGATAGCATTTATGTGGTAGTTAAAAACATTTGAGGGTGATAAACATGGCGGCATTCGCGTTCAATTGCGAAGGGGGACATTTTATTTTATGTATGTGTATTAACGCGATTTTGACGTTTTTCACTCGCGCTGTACATTGGAGTGTCAAGGAAACTCAAAAGCGATTTGAGGTCGATGTGGTGAATTTGCAAGGACGGTTGTCATGATCGGCTTCGAGATTCGAGCAAAGAGATGTGAGCGACCAGTTTGGTCGAGTACAAAAGCATCGACTACATCTAAATTAAGTTTGCACACCCGACACCGAAATCACTTT